CAAACAACAATGAATGTAGTTTCGGAGAATCGTGATCGGGCACGTTTTAAAAGGAATGTATGGCACCTGGACCAGATGTGAGGAATGTGAGTCACCCGAATCGGGGTTTGGGTGACTTCACATAAACACGGCCTATCTGCACTTAGAGATCCAGCTTTGCCGCCGAGAGCAACAACGTCACCACTGCCTGCGCGGTGTAATAGAAGAGTTTCCCTGTACAGCACTCTGCCGTACCCTAACACCCCGCCGAAAATATATATTGTTAGAGATAAGAGGAAATCACCACATGCACTCTGAAAAAGAGTTTTCTTCCGCCACGATAGCGGGGGAGATAGGCGGTAATCTTAATAGAAAGTAATCAATCCTACCGTGGTAATAGCGGCCCGCTGCACGGGAAGGCGAAGGTAATTAACAAAGATGAAAGAGCTTGAAGGGCGAGGGGCTAAGTACATCACGGCAAACCTGTACTTACCGCCCCCGGCACACTGACGTGAACGATGAAGAGGATTTACAAATGGAATACTGAATAGGAGGTTTGAAAGCCCGCATTCAGGGGAAAGTTTGGTCGGGATTAAGGTGTCGAGCCTGGAATAAAAGTACTGAACATGACAGACTCACCGGAGGGCGATATTCGGAGACTCCGCTCGGCAGTTAAGAGAAGTACGTTAACATTTTACTGATGACCCCAGATTTCTGTAAAGTTCAACCGCTCACAAAATCATCCTATGTTTTCAGAGAGCAAAAGCTCCGTGATCAAGATGTACAGTTGACATCGAAAATTTGGAGGTACGTGATTCTACCTTTCAAAAACATGATTGATCAATATTCTACTTAAAGCAAAAATATGTATGTATATATTTTTCCTTCTTGAAATAATATCGTGGGATGTATTTTTACTGGCTTGTTAAACTTAGGGATGCCATATCTATGATACTTATGAATATGCGCACGGCGCACGACGTAGTAATTGCCTGACGCCCCTTCAGTTCAAACACCTAGTATGTCACATCATAATTACGTCAAAGTTACGTGAATGCAAACGCTCTGTTTAACCCAAGTGTCCTCTTAAAATGTCGCCCGATATTAGGGACTGTACCGGTTTTGGTACATGTCATCATTCATCTACAATGCACATACATCAGAACAAGTAGTTTATATTTAAGCAGCCCCACGCGTCCTCTCAATACGACTCAAATCCTTCTAACTTAATCTTGCTTCTGCGGATTCTTTTTTAAAATTCAAATCAACGTTGCACTTTTTCCGCAAATGGATGAACCCGCAGTATCTTATCTTACATCGCCTTTCAAGCCACTCTCTCTCTCTCTCCAGCTCTGAAGTAGACGTAAGTGGCCTTGGAAACGCAGACGCAAAGTGATGGGCTTGTGAGCTTGATTTGTAGCCATGGCAACCGCCATTTGATTGACAGCAATCTTGTTGGAAGCGTGCACAAAATTCACGCTGCCAATTTCACTGACTTGATTTTATTTCACGTGCAGAACTCTGTGACGGCATGCTAATGTAAATGTTATTGCTATTCTACCAGTACCTGTGTACATTGGGTGCATTTGGTGATTACCCAGTTCGATATATTCAACGCCTGTTGAGTTTTCTAGAGATAACTGGCTACAAGCCTGGGGAAATGTACTATTTTCATTCTACCAGGCTTCGGGAGCCGGCTGGAAAGAGAAGAAATCGGTCAAATAGATAGATAACATGCCAAAGGAGTTGGTCCGCTAGGGAGTACGTATTTTGCCGCACCCGAAATGTACTCTCTAGTGGACCAACTCCTTCGGCATATTATCTCTCTATTTGACCGACTTCTACTCGTTCCAGCCGCCTCCCGAAGCCTGGTAGAAGCTAAAGGTGTCAGGTTTGTAACATGCAATAGTATTCTGAAACAGGAAGGATGTCAGAAAGAACATTGACGAGTTCTCTCAGTTCATTTTATTGATTTTGAAGTTAAGAAGAGTGACAGATGTCACGAAAGTTCGGAAGTAATCTCCTTTATTTATCCAGTAGTAGACTTTGATTTGTCTTTGAATATAATTTGTACGGCTCTTCGCTTGCAGTAACGTTTCCAGAAATAACACCTCGGGGTGGTTGTGGGCGCGTCAACTTTGACAAGCTGTTATAACATACTGATGTTATTAAAGCACCTTTGTGCAGCCCTGTTTCTAGATTCTGATACAGACACGTACGAGGAACTAGGCCTGGGAGGCAGACTGTCTGCTGCCTTAGCGTTAGAGCGAAAGAAACACATAATGAAATCATAAAACCACACCACGCGTCTCGGCGGTACGTCTTGTCACATATAACTCCGTAATTTGTGGTCGTTACAGGAACATATTTCCTCGTTATGGTGCCGTATAGCATGATATAAGCCCCGGAAAATTGAAATAGGCATTGGAAGCGCTAATTATCCGATAAATATATCAGTAGCAAGCTAGGAGATGTCATGATTGATTATTAAGGAGAGGAAATACGGATCAGAACAAGAAATAGCAAAGTGATATTACTTTAGAAACGTCATTCATGTTTATGAGTCGACTGATTTATATAACCTCGCTTCTCCTATTAAATTTTAAAAACACCTCTATATTAATAACGCATATTGTATTGTCATCTTAGAAACAATTTATCCTATTGCAATCTAAACACATCTAATCAAACTACTAGTTCCTCCTTAGTATCTTTCCATATGTGATAAGCATCTATGACCGATAAGTTTTAAGTTTAGCACTACTGCCTAAATACCGTAGCTTAGTATCTCTACAGCTTCTATGCCATGGACAAGGTACCAGTAGTTTTACCAGTTGTCATTTACATTTAAAATCATGATATACTAAGTATGTGTATTTTGATATTCTTTGCAAATTCAGAAGAAACGATCAATTGGTAATTTGGCTTAAAAAAACATACTGGGACAGGAACTAACATAAGCTTACGCCAAATTTCATCATGAAGAGCTACCTAGCGACAATGTCGTAAATTGCACCCAGGCGTGACAGGAATTGACATGAACGTATCAGACCTTCTGACATGTTCTTGTCGTTATGCACCTGTATCTGTACACACACCAGAATGAGATGTTAACACACCAGCGTAAACCGTACATTTGCAGGCATGTCCACCAACCATGAGGTGTTTACCATGTACACAACATTGAGCAAACACATCAACAAAGTGCGTACAGTCAACGACCTAGCGGTGACCCCCTCTACCTGTGGTATGTAATTACCGGAACAACATTTACTGAAGATACGTGTTTTACATGTGAACAGGAGCCTAGTAATCTGTATGTTCCCACAGAATGTTTGCTCAAAACATGTTTACGTTGCCTCTCATAAGAATTATTATCTAAGTATTTTGGTAATCATTTAAACAGGGCATTAGAAGTAGAATCTTTTTTGGGGGAGCGAAGAGTATCCACAAGGTCCTTGGTGATTACTATAGTAGCGCTGGGAGGTCCCAGGGTTTTGTATTTACATACTATTAGTGTTACAAACAATACCATCTTTGTTCAAATAGACTTTATGAACTCAGCACTGTAGTATTGACAAAGCAAATGTATCTGAGATAGCATTTTACCTGCAAGTCATTTAGGAAAGGACCATTTTTACGTCTCTTTTTTGCCACTACGCACAGAAGTTAGTTAAGTAAAAGTAAGCGGGGCCATTGCCTAGTTTTCAGGAACTAGTCTACCTTTGACTGCAACCTGTTAATTTTGAATCAAAACACACTCACATGTATCTCTCTCGAACCCAGAGTACCGTGTCACATCATGATGTGTACACGAGAAGTGAAGAACTTTGAAGGATAAAAATTAATTCATAACCAGTTGGGGAAATATCATGGTTTTCTCTGTTACCAATGAAAACGTAATTAGCTCAATATTTTAAGAGAGACAAACGCAACAAGCAATGTATACGGCAAACCACGATAAGATAGGAAATCAGGAAGGAAGGCAGACGATATGTGTGTGTGTGTGTGTGTGTGTGTTTTTGTTTGTGGGGGGGGGGCGTGGGACCCACAACAGGTGTAATGATACCTCGTGATGTATTTTGCCACGTCCATTCAGAACTAAAGCCTATTTATAACTCATGACTTTGAATTTTAGATTTTCTCGAGCCAGCTTCCACGAACATGTACTTGACAACAACTTTTTCAACCTGAATAAAACAGTTACTACACATTTCGACTTGGTCACATTTGTCGTAGGACGTCGTACGATTTTCATGTTGTACCATCTGGCTATCATGCTGTAACACAACCAATTACCGACAAGTATCTGCGACACCCTTTGGCGTTACAAGACAGTTGAACTTTGTACGAGACATGCACGACTAAGAATTCCCTCGTTTTATGATCGCACGACAATCGTACGTAAAATGTGACCAAGCCCTAAACCTCCTTCCAAGGACAACATAGTTTGCACATACCGTTATAGGATATCCATGTGAGAAGACAATAGTCATCAATACACCTTCTGTGACCGGCTTCACATGCGCCAAACTGTCTCTGAAGATCAAAATTGTAGCATGGAGTTCTCCTGGGTTGTTGTAGCTGAGAATAAAACACGGAATGTTCTTCTGATGGACGCACCCAAGACAGCACCGATGTGTCCTCGCTACAGGTGAGTTATGTGAACACTCCACCGAACGGTATGTAAACACTCAGGGACGATAAGGTCCTAACTTGAGAGCATGCGCGGTTTGAATCTAAAACGTGCTCATGACAACAACTTTGTTCACACGCGCGCGCGCAAACACACACCCTAGTCTATTTTTAAAAGTTCTGAATGCAATATGTACTCAGTTGACAGTATGACGTCTGAAAATCACACCTGACAGTACAGTTACGTCGGAGAGCGGTTGTTCTCTAGCGAACCATGTCAAGGCTAGGTACACTTGGTGTGGCTGACCGGTCACGGTCTAGTTGTGAATAGTGTAGAATTACCACACGGTGCAGAGCTACCATAAGTACATATTATTTACCCTGCCCTAGGTAGCACACCCTTCACAGGACAGAACTACATCAGTTACAGCTCAGTCTTGTCTGAACTCTCCAATTCAGCCATTTAGAATGCCATGGA